TGAAAAGCTCTTCCTTTTTGTATAACCACCATCTACTGAATTCATGACAGGAAAAGAATAGAAGCAAATGTTGCAGGAGGATATTGCTGGTGCAGTCATCAGTGAGGCTGACCTAAGCATAGTCATTGTGCCTGATATACTGGCTAAAAGCTTCATTGAACAATTCACAGGAAAATACCATTGCCCATCAGAGTTTCTGAGAAGCAGATTTCTGCAGTGGTCCATTACATTAACTTCTTTCTGTCTCTGAAAATCAGAGCCAAGCCAGTAAGTGTTTCTAGGACCCCTAGTGGCACCTCAGGATTTGTTTATATGGCCAAGCTGGTACTCGGAGTGCTCATACAACTGTTTTTATTATAAAGAAAATCTTAATTTAAAAATAGAATAATTAATTTATTAATGTAATTGAAATAAAAATCTATCATTATTGCCACAGAAAAGTAAGGAGGCTTATTTAATTTGTTAGTAATTTATAGTACATTCCAATCAAAAGGAAGTTATGCACCTGACTGACATTTGTTATATGTGGTTGGTTTTCCAAAGATACAATAGTACGTTATTAGCACAACTTTCAGTGTCTTACGAAGCAGACAGAGAAAATCCAGTGTTGTAAAACTGACCAGCCAGAAAATCAGCCCTGATGCAACCTCTTGAATAAAGATGACAGATTCAATCAGGGCCCTGTTTAACAAGACACTGCTCAGAAGGACACAACACCTAAAGGAATTCCACAAAGTAGAAACTGAAACTGAATAAAGGTTCCTGTGAAATACCTAAAATCGAGTGCATCAAATTCCGTTTCCTGGTCAAGAGCCAGGAAGAGTAGTGACAAACCAGACACAGACACTAGATAGAAAAGATCCTAGTCATGCTATTAAAAACAGTCAAGTGCCACGGTTTAGGTTAACCAAGATAGATCACATCCACCAGTGCTGACCTTAGTGTGACATGGATTTTGCTATACTACATAGTCTATGCAGAGTATTGAGACTAGGTGACAGTTCTTCACATCATAGAGGGCACCCGCAACCTTATGTGACAGTATAGCACAAAATTCACTTGCATGCAGGGGTAGCAATCTTTCACACAATTAGCAAAGACTTTTGACCTTCATCTTTCTTTGCCTTCATTTGCCATCTGTAAAATGGGGATAATATGGGCTACCTCACCTCACAGGGGTAAAGTAAAAGTAAATTAATTAGTGTTTGACATGTCCTCAGATACTGTAGTGATAAGCATCATAAAAATCACCAAAGGAATTTCATACCTCTGTTTTCAAAATGAGGTTTGAATAGCAAAAAGAAGATATGAAGCCACATACTGAATGCAGAGAAAACAAAGCTTTGCATAGCTATTTATGAAATGAGCGCTATTCATTTTGTGTACTGAGCAATTCAAGGGTCCTGTAGCAAAACTGGTACAGGATCACATAATTAAAAACTTTATTATACTGCACATGCACATGGGGACTCAAAAGTTGCACAGAATACAAAGATTTACCGAGATGATGTTTAGATATGGGAAAAAACAGCAGAACATGCCCAGAGGCTCTTCATAGATCTGAAAAAGCAAGAGCTAAGTCTGAAATAAGCCAAACCAAAATTTAGACTCCATGTAATAAAAAATAACATGTCTTGAAGGGAAGTTCAGACAGCAAAGCGTACAGGTAGCCTTACTGTGATCATTGCCAATATACCTCTCCAGGGCCAGATGAACGGATATGGAAACTAGGAACATGCTTAGGACCCTAAGTGAAGAAGGGGCCCGGTTGTATTCATTTTACATATTGCAATTATTGAGTGAAAGGAAGTAATATAAATATACATATTCAGTAGAGGCCCATGAGTTTGTTTGCCTAGGGCCCACTAAAGGGTTAATCTGGCCCTGCCTGTCCCAAAGAAGAAATAAGAGGAAAGTTGTACCTGATCTAGCTGCCCATGCTAGCTACCACAAGTGCTAATATGCAAGAATGTTCTAATGGGCATAAGATACAAATCTTATAAGGATCTTGAGAAACTAAAGAAGCAACTAAAGAGACTCCAATCCTACATACTAAGAGAGTTACCCCCAAAAGAAGTGGCCCAAGGCCACCTCCAGGGACAGGTAAAATCTGGTAGAATCATAGGAGCCTACTGGGCACATCTACATGAGACATATACTGCAGAGTAGACTGATTAGCTCCACAGTAAACATTTTGCACTTACACATGCAGTGCTATTAGGCAGGAATAAACTAATTAACTCCAGTGCAGGATAGTACTTGTCACTATAAGTACTATCCCACTGTGGAGTATTTTACTCTGCAGCACAACACATGTTGATGGTGATGGGGCTGCCTGCTGGCTAGCCCTGCACTGGAGGACCCTCATGTTCCATCCAGCCCCTGCACAGCATGTTGGACCACGCAGGAGCAGCCCCAGGCTGGCAGGCTGAGCCCTGGGGTCCCCTGCCAGCTAGGGCTGCTCTGACCTAGCTCAACATGCTGCAGTCCTGGGCACACATTCAAAGAGCACTCCCAGGAGCAATAAACTCTGGTACAATAAGCACCGGAATTTATTGATTCGCATTTAGAAGTAGATGTGCCCACTGAGTATAAATATGCTCAAATAGAGAAGCTGATGCTGGTTATTAGAAGATTCAGATCTTTATGTGTTAGGTGGTAGGGACTCAACCCCACAATGTATAGGCATTCATTCTAGAACTGACTTAAAAACAGAAAAAGACATTTTGCTTCTAGAATAAGGTTATCTACACATGGAGTTATTCAGGAATAGATACTGCACTTTAAATTCACACTATAATACAAGTTGGTTAATGATTGGAACCAGGTGTAAATAATTTTTTCATTGTGCCACTAGCCTCATTGAAGAGGATGAAACTTGATTAATTGAAGATTATTTCAAATTAGCTGTCAAGTGTAGGTAAGCTTTTACATTGAAAAAGACTATAAATCACTTATGACTATGTAATATATAGTTGGCTTATTTGGCAATCAGACATGGAGGGGGAGCATTTCTGCACAAATGGCGTGCAAGCCTAAATAAAACTAATTGTGGGATTTGTCAAATAACTAATTGCCATCTGCATAACAACTGCCTGCCTGTCTGCCTTACTCAAGGGTGTCTTGAGCCACTCAGACTGTGCTGTCAAAAATAGTTCAGCAGTTCTTTCTCCCCAAACCACAAGAATACAATAATTATTTTTTCAGAGTACAAAAGATAGCAGTTTGGAAATCTGGCAGGAGGAAGTAGGAAATAGTTTCATAGTTTCATAGTAGGTAGGGTCGGAAGGGACCTGAGCAGATCATCAAGTATGACCCCCTGCCCTAGGCAGGAAAGAATGCTAGGGTCAAATGACCCTGGCTAGGTGATTATCTAGCCTCTTTTTGAAGACCCCCAGGGTAGGAACCAGGACCACTTCCCTTGGAAGTTGGTTCCAGATCCTAGCTGCCCTGACTGTGAAGTAGTGCCTCCTGATCTCTAGCCTGAATCTACTCTCGGTCAACTTGTGGCCATTGTTCTGTGTTACTCCGGGTAGTGCTCAGGGGAACAGGGACTCCCCCATAGCCTGCTGGTCCCCCTTGGCCAGTTTGTAGAAGGCCACCAGATCCCCTCTCAGCCTTCTCTTGTGGAGGCTGAACAGGTTCAGGTCCCATAGCCTCCACTCGTAGGACCTGCTGCCCCCGATCATGTGAGTGGCCCTCCTCTGGACCCTCTCGATGCTGTCCACATCCCTCCTGAAGTGCAGCACCCAGAATTGGACACAGTACTCCCACTGCAGCCTGACCAGTGTCGCATAGAGGGGGAGGATCACCTCCTTGGACCTGCTTGTGATGCATCAGTGGATGCATGACAAGGTGCGGGTAGCCTTCCTGACCGCGTCCCCACATTGGTGGTCTATGTTCATTTTGGAATCAATAATGACACCAAGATCTTTTTGTGCCTCTGTGCTGACTAGAAGGGAGTTCCCCAGCCTGTAGGTATGCTGCTGGTTTTTCCTCCCTAGGTGTAGTACCTTGTACTTATCAGTATTGAATCCCCTCCTGTTCTCATCTGCCCACCCCTGTAGCCTGTCTAGATCTAGTTGCAGCCTGTCCCTCTCCTCTAGAGTTCCCACTTCTCCCCACATCTTAGTGTCATCCGTGAATTTGAACAAGGTACTTTTCACACCCTCGTCCAAGTTGCTGATGAAGATGTTGAACAGTGCGGTTCTGAGGGCCGAGCCCTGGGGGACCCCACTGCCCATGTCACTCCAGGTTAAAAAAGACCCATCCACCACCACTCTCTGGGTGTGGCCCTCCAGCCAATTTGCGACCCATCTGACCGTGTAGGCATCAATGCCACAGTTGCCTAATTTCTTCATGAGAATGGGGTGAGAGACAGTGTCGAAGGCCTTCCTAAAGTCCAGGAAGACTACGTCCACTGTGACACCTGCATCCAAGGATTTTGTGACCTGGTCGTAGCAGGCCACCAAATGTCTGGATGACACAGTGTTGATAGGCATTGTCAACTCAGACCAGGATTGGAATATCATAGAGGAAAAACTGGAGGACTTCTAGGGTCACAGAAATGAAGTTTAAGTGTTGGGGTGATATCTGGGAAATCTACTGATGCTATCTGCAGTTTGGCTATTATCATATATTGTAAGCTGCCCTGAGCTTTCTTCTATAGGGAGGGATATACATCTGTGGCAGCAGAGCTCAATTAGATGCACGCAAGGTTGGACTGAGGCACACAGGCCGTGGCACAGAGGTACTGCAGGCGCTCCAGGGGACACCAGCCCCAGGCCGTGCCTGTCTCGCAAGTACTCGCCACTCCCAATGGGAAGAGAGGAACGCAGCGGCAGAGTTGAAATATCACCCGGAGCCGGCAGGCAGGGGGACTGGAAGCAGCTGAGGCTGCACAGTGGCGGCCATGTGCCTGAAGGGGCGAATGGTGGGAACCATGGCAACAAGCAGCTCACACTGAAGCCAGCTTAGAGGAGCCAGGCAGCTTACCTGAAGGTGGGGACTGGTTCTCAGTGGTGACGATGGCTGGAGGCAAGCTGGAATGACCTGTAAGACAGAAAGTCACGAGTGAAAGAACCAAGTACACAGACTGTGATTCTTCTATGGGCTTTTTACCTCCCAATTGGAGGAGCCATACCAGTGCTGAGGGTTTTTTTTCTTTTATCCTTAATACCAGAGAAGGACTTTGAGAATATTTTCAGATCATAATTTACCTGTGTTTGTCATCTGGGAGGTGCCAGGTGGGGTGTAGAGGAGGTGGAGCCTCGAGATGCAGGACCCATGTCGTCTGTGTGAGGGCTGTACGAGGGCGTTGAAGATCAGACTCTCTGTTTTCAATAACACCAAAGACGTGGCAGATGAAAACTTATAATGCCCATGCAGACGCACGAACCAGCAAGCTGTCTATGCACCAGGGAACAAGTACACCATCTCTAGGTGAGAAGTCTCGTCAAACACCAAAGGACAAGCACAAGAGGTTACAACATCTATATACATGAACAACATATGTGCCCTATGGCTGGGAGGGCACGGCAGTGGCGGGAGCGCAGTGATGGGAATGCAGCAGCTGGAAGAGGGTGCTCCCACAGATGCCACTGGCACTGTCAGTGGTGGGGGTGGTGAGCGCCAACCAGGGGTCGGCGACCACCCACAGACGCCACTGGCAGCAGCGGTGGCAGCCAACAGTGGTTGTGAACCGCCTGCAGGGGTGGTGAGTGGCAACCACACGCAGGCACCACCGACAGTGTCAGTGGCACCTTTTTGTAGGGGGTGCACTGCCACACTCAGGGGGTGCACATGCACCCATGTGCATCCCCTATGCATCGCTCCTGTCTATATATTAAACTAAACTAAACTAACTAAATGGGATTAAATGTAATAGTACAAAACACATGGTCATGGATTTGGTGAATAACAAGAATTTATACTATAGGCTGGGACCTCATCAGCTGAAAATAATTGAGGAAGAAAGAGACTAGCATGTATCAGCTAATCATAGTTGTTTATTCTGATCCACCAATGTGATATAGCCATGAAAAGGACAAATGCAGTGCTATGACTAGGGACCAACCTAACTTGTGAAGAAAGGAAGCAATTTTTGCAGCTTGGTCACAGCCCATATTGTGGTCATTTTGCAGTGCTCCCTCCACTTGGTTCTGGTTGGTGGAGAGGCCCTGCCTCTTGGTGCTGATTAATGGAGAGGCCATGTGGGAGAGAAAGGGTAAGGAGACAGCCACCATCTTGACTACTGGCTGCCCTTCATGCAGCCCTGCCCCTCAGTGCTGACTGGTGGAGAGGCAGGAGGGGGCGGGCACA